TGAGCATGCAAATTGGTAAAATCCAGATGGAGTATTTGGTAAGGATAGTAATGTACCCCCTATAATGTCCATAGCCTAGAACTATAATCTGTAAATTGTTACTTTACGTGGCCAAAGAGACTTTTCATATCTGATTATAGTCATGGGACTTGAGATGGGGGGGAATTATCTTACTTGTCCAGGTGGGCCCAATCTTATCACATGAGTCCTTGAAAGCAGAGAACCTTCTCCTGCTGCAGAGAATCAGCGAAATGCTGGCTTTGAAGATGGAGGAAGGGAGCATGGGCCGCTTTGTGTGGGCAGTGTCTAAAAGCTGGACAAGGCAAGGATATATTCTCCCAGAGAGTCGACAGAAGGGAATGCAGCCCTACCAAGTCTGTGTTGGGTTTCTGATATCTAGAATTAAAAGATAATATATATATTTTTAAGCAACTGAGATTATAGTAATTTATTACAGCAGCAATAGAAAACTAATACATAAAATAATTGGCAACAACTACAAATCATAAAATTGTGAATCAGCAGTGACTCTCTCAGAATTTACCTTGAAGATATATCCAGTAATATGTATAAGGTTATTCATTGCACCATTGTCTGTAATTGCAAATAAAGAAACCTAGGTGCCCATACCTAAGAGATGGTTGAATCACCTATGGCATAAGCACACAGTAAAGTATTGTATGACTTGAAACATTTGAAACTTTAAATGAATAAAGAACATATTTGAAATTGTTACAACGTCCATTATTGACAGATGTTCACCTTGTTTCTAATATGGGGCTACTGTGAATAGAACTACTTTGAATGTCCTTATATATTTATTTCGGTGGGCATAAATACTCTTTTCTGTTGGACACATTCCTAGGAGCGGAATTGCTGTGTCATAGAACACATGCATGTTCTGTTTTAACAGGTATGACCAAACAGTTTTCTAATGCGCTTGTAATAATTCATATTCTTTGTGGTCATGTGCAAAAGTTCCTGTTGCTCTACATAAGAATGTACCTACATGAACAAAACATTGAGTCCTTTCAATTTTTGCCTTTCTGATATGAACATAGTACTATGTCTCACTTCAGTTTTAATGTATGTTTTTCTGATGACTAGTGGTATTGAACACTTTTATCTGTACTAATTGGACATATGGATATCTTTTCTGAAATAATTGTTTAAGCTTTTTGCAAATTTTTTTCATTTTCAGATTTTTTTTCTTACTGAATTTATAGGCTATCTATATAGATAATGTATGCCTGTACCCCATAAATTTATGTCAAATATCTTCTTAGTCTGGGGCATCCTTTTCAATTTTTTATATAGCCTTCTAGTAGGCAGGGGTTTAGAAGTTCTTAATATTTTTCCTCCTCAAGATTGTCTTGAACATTCTAAGCCCTTTGCATTTCTATATACATTTTAGAATCAACTTTTAATGTCTATAAAATTTATGCTCATATATTTTTATGATTTCACTGAATCTATAAATCAAATTTGACAGAACCGTCAATAATAATGATTCTTCCAATCTATAATCATGATATAGCTGTCCTTCTTTAATCTCTAATGTTTTAAAGTTTACTACTCAGAGAAATTGCACATTTTTATTAATCGATATAGAATCACAAAAGTTTGAATGTCAGATCATCATGATACACAAGTCTGAGTCAGCATCAGCACTACTAATGAAGAGCAAATACAAAAAGACATAGGAATCATAGTACTCTCTGCATGAATATCACAGAGATCTCACATTATCAGATAGTTTTTATAATTTCCATTTCCACAATAGACACATTTCTCTTTCCAAGCAAGGACAGCTGATAAAAGAAAGATTCAATTAACACAGGAAAGATAAGATTTAATGTATGTCAGCATCTAGTCTTTATCTGACTACCTTACTAACTCCCAGTCTTCAACAAAAATGTAGTCCATGAATTTAAGACTTATTTACAGTAAACAATAGATAAAGCAGATATGCACTGTTTAAAGCATTCCTGGGACAGTCAACAGCTGGACAGAATACCCATTCAAAACCCTCATTATTCATTTTCATTTTCAATCAGTACTCCCATCAATCACTGAAGGTCAAATGCCTCAGATATCTCTTAGGAGAGAGGAAGAAGTTGGGGATTTTCCATTAATCCTTTCCTTCTTGCTGCGTATTTAATGTTTTGATGCTGCTGCAAACTATATTAATTGTTAACTTTGTTTTCTAATTCTTTATAGTTAGAAATGCGATGGATTTTTGCAAATTAAATATATACTAAGGAAACAAATGTATTATTAATTAACTAGATTATTTTTCAATTAGTTATTATGATCATTACTACTATCACTATTATTTTCATTTAGGGATAATTGTTAGGAACCACAAGATAATAATGAAGAGAAGTGATAGAAAAAGAAATGTATATCTTCCCAAGCACAAGAAGAAAAAACATATTTTTTTACTATTACGTAGTGTGTCAGTTGTAGGTTTTATCTTTGTTTTTGCTTTTAGATGTTCTTTATCCATTTCTGGGTTCTATTCTGACATGTAGAGCACTAGCAGGCCATCACTCCAATCTTTACAACAAAGAAAAAGCAAAGAAAAAAAAGCACTGAATATTAATGCTTTTGAACCCACAGGTAAGGTCATGGAAGTTCAAAGCAAATAACCACCCTAAGCCTGAAGAGACAGTGAATCTAGAGTCAAAACCTTGATCTGCTTACCACGAACAGAAGCCATTGGCAATATAGACTGTAAGGAACACCTAAATGGTAATTTTGACAAACTTCTGGAGGCTGTGTGTATACTAATGTGAGAATGACAAATTCCTTGGGGACGAGGTATTAAGAGTCTCCACAACTTGCTGGGCTTTACTGCCAATAATTGTATTAGGTCCTCACTATAGAGATCCAAGGAAGAGTCTTACATGGCTCTGGAAGGGAAAGAAAATGATACATCCAAAGCCTTTTTCCATAGTAAATGCCTACTCACTAGGAACAAAGACCTAGCATGAGCTCTGGCTTACTTGGGACATGAGAATTAGTTCCACGCCAGCCCCTTTCAGCCTCTCTGCCTTACCTAAGAAAGAGGGAAAAACATAGTGAATAAGGGTCAGAACTACAATTTTATGTAGAGAGAACCCTACATCTAGGAAGACAGTAGGGGCTGTACTGCTGAAGAAACACGGTGAATGTCAGCCCTTAGACACGAGTCCACTAAAAGCCTGGGATTTCATTGTAAGGTAATAGAATGATTCCTTTCCCCTAAACCTTATCATCACACAAACTGGGGTTCTGATATAATAGTGGATTACAGCAGATAGAGCTGCAAGACACAAACCCTCTCTAAAGAAGAGTAGTTAGGGATGTACAAAGTCAAACGAAAACAAGCTTCTGGCCCCTACAGCTAAAAGAAACACTTAAGACAGCCCAACTCCTAACCAGATAAAAAATTCTTACACTAAAGGCCTCTTTGCCTCAGTTCCCACCAGGAACTGAGTATTCAATAAAACATCTGACTTTCAAAACCAAAACCAAACCAAAATCTAATATATATCTGTATATGATATGCCAAAACATAAGAAAAACACAATTAGAAGAGAAAATAAATCATCAAAGCTAGACTCAGATATAACAAGGACATTGAAATTAACAGCTTGAAGATTTAAAATAATCTGTGGATATAACTCTTATGTTTTTTTCCATTTATCCAGTTAATATATTGACTTAACATTTATGATTTTCTAATGGTAAGTTTTTCTTGCATTTTTTAAATAAAACTCACTTGGTCATGACGTATTATCTGTTTTATATATTACTAAATTAAATTTGTTTATGTGTTCTTTAGAATTTTGCTTATATGTTAACGAGAAATGCTGTCCTGTAATTCTCCCTGCTGATGGCATTATATTTTTATTTTGAGATACTGCAGCCTTCAACAAAAAGTAAAGAAATGTTCCCTCATTTCATGTTCTCTGGAAGAGAAAGTATTTAGAATTCACCAGTGAAACCATCTGGATTTAAGTTGGCATTTGGGGCAAGATTTTTAATCGTGGATTTAATTTCTACATGAGATATAAAACTATTCAAATATTTTTTCTTCTTGGGTCAGTTTTCATAAATTTAATTTAATGCAGTAATATATATTTGAAGTTAAGATAAGTGGGGTTTGATTTTATTTTATATTTTTTATTTCATGAAATATTTTAAACATACCCCAAATAAGAAAGAATAAATATTACAACAAACATCAGACACCCATCACCTAGATTTAATAATGATTAATATTTGTTAATTCTTTCATGTTTATTTTCTCAAGTGTTCGAAAATAACTTACATGCAAACTAAAGTTTCTCATTATTTTGCTTTGAAATTAACAATACAGTTTCCAAGGAATAATAAATGTAAAAAATTAAACTAAAGTTTTATTATCATTGCAGAGCCTGTTAACATTTAGACACAGAATTCCTATCTTCTGGGAAGGGAAGAAAAAGTAGATGATAATGAGGAGAAGAAGGATAAGATGAAGGACAGAAGAGAAAAAGGAGGAAGGGGGAGTGGTAAGGAAAAGAAAAAAGGAAGAAAAACAAGGGGGAAGAAATAATCATAAAATAAAATATATTGGTAAATGGCTTAGATATAAGAAGAAAATGTTGCCATAGTTGATGATAACATTAATGCAAATTTATTGTGAAAAAAAGAATTGAAACTGAAAACACGTTTATTATGTCAGGAAAGTTTATTATTAGGTATCAGGTACTGAAAGGCAAATTTTTGCTAGAGAGTGATGACTCTCCATCCTTCATAGATGAGGATCCCTGAAGAACATCATGATGAAGGTCAATATCTAGCTCATCACGTTTTCTTCACATTATTGTCAGAAACTAGGTAGTAAAAATAACAGTTTAGTTATCAAGACAGGATAAATGAAGCATGCAGGTGATGGGATAAAGTTTTCTAGATGAATAAAAGTCTCACAGAGGACTAATTCCACAAATTGTCAACTTTCAAGTGTTAATTCAGTAGAATCCACAAGACCAGTATCTTCCATAGGAACATGGACTCCAGTAGCCACACCCGTAGCCTCCATAACAAGAGGGCCCATAGCAACCACATCCATAGCCTCTGTAGCCACAGCCGTAGCCCAGTCCGCAGCCATAGCCACAGCCCAGGCCACTGAAGCCTCCACAGCCGTAGCCCAGGCCTCCGTAGTAGCTGCCGTAGTAGCTCATGGTGTCAAGAGTGGTGAGTTTGGCTTGGTATTGTAGGTCAATTTTGTGACTGTGACTGCACAGGGACATTTATATATATGGATGGGAGTGGAAAGCCACACCTCTAATGTCATCCAATAGAATGCATTACTATGCAAAACTATGTCAATTACCTTGTTTTCTAACAGCAAACCATGCCTTCCACTTGTTTACGTAACTAGTTATTTAAGAATAATGTGACGCATTTGCCTGATTCATTTGAATTCCTAGAAAAATATTTTACTGTCAGTAAGATGCTATTTTGTTTATAATTCACATATGTGTTTGTGTTTTCTGAGTTTTAAACTCTATAAACAAACCTCTATAACTTGAGGTATTCTCTAAATTGTATCACATGAGGTCACATCTACCCTCTAATTGAACCCTTTCCTTTGACAGTGTATGGCCATTGACTCTTTCCAGGCCAAGGGCATTATATTTCTTCTCTCAAGAATTCACATAAATTGAACCATAATTAGTACCTGAAATACTTACTAGTCCTATAAAAAATGGCCATCACCTATAATGTACATCTTAATTCAACATGCTTCTAATGTCAGCGGAGAACCACATTTGGTGGTGCAGTGGTGATATCTATTTTTAAGAGAGCCACACACTCCAACCTACAGAAGTGGGAGCTAAGAAATGGGTGCTGTTTGAAGCCGATAAATTTGTAGTGATTTCTTAAGCAGCAATAGAAAACTAGTACAGTCTCTTAGCCCTTCCATTCTGAATGCTCTAACACTCAAATTTCTAACATTAAATCATTAATAATATTCCTACACTTCATTATATCAGTTTTGTCGCACATTTACGATTCAGAAGGTATTCAAGGAGAATTAAGAAAATAATATCATGCTAAATTTAGAATATTACGTCTTTTATTATACAAGTCAACAGTAAATATATTACAAGCTGAGCTTCTAAGGATGTGCTTTATTACTTTTTAGCATGGATAAGAGACTGAAGCTACTTAATCCACATTCCATCTGTTGAACTTCGAAAGAGCATGCTGTTCGTTATCCAAAGAAAGTTTGCTTCTCTGTATAGATCAATAAACTAAAATTAAACTATTTAGCTTCTAGCTCTGATTATGGCACTTAATGTGACATTAGGCATTACGTTAAAATTCTTTTTGAAAACTGGAATAAAAATGACTCTATAATTCAAAAAGGTGTTGGAATGTTAAGGAAGAAAATATACAGGAATGTGCTTTGAAAAGAACATAATATTCTTGATTAACTAAAACACTCCTTAAATAATGTTTTACTTGAGAATTCAATGAAAACCTTCGGCAATATATTTCTGATTAAAAGCTATGACCATCAAAATAATGTCTTTCTTTTACAATTGGTTCTATAACTTCAATCCTCTTTAGACTTATAATGGTAAGAAAACAGGGCACTGATTCTTCCCAGTTATCCTCCTTCAATTTCATATTCTCACTTGTAGCAATTCCTAGATAACTGCCACCATTATTTTTGATGATGGTTATCACCTATAAAATAGAAGAGCTTGCCAGGCAATCTAACTCCACCTTCCATTTCTGGTTTCTAAATGAATCTCCTGAAAATGTCAAATGAGTACACATCTACGCACAGAGAAACCTGCATCTAGTTACTGGTTATGGGGAAATGGGCTGTCTAGGTCCCTCAGGTTAACACGGACACTGTGCCCAACACATTGTAAATCCTTCCTTCTCATACATTTCCCCAATGCTAAGTTCAGGCATCATCTTCTGGGGGTACTTTCACTGACTGCAGAGGACTCGATGAGATGCCCCTCCTGTCCCAGTGCACCTAACACATAAATCTTTCTTAAAAATTAACACAGAAAATTGTAAATGTTTATCTATCATCTGAATTTCCATCTGATCTGTAAGCTCACCTAGATCTCTGAACACCTTATGTCTTTCTACCTCTGGTACTCAGTACATACAGAGAACAAGGTGATGGTACATTACTCCTGGGAGGATGGTTGAATATATGAATGATCTAATCCATCCTAGGAGGCACCAGCCATCATGGTATCACCAAGCACAGCAAAATTGAATAAGCTCAGGCTCTTGTTGACACAATTAGCACAGCTATTTTTTTAGACGATCAAGTCCAGTTTATTTAATCATACGGATTTTCTTTTGAAATGTAGACTAATGTATAATTATTTCATAAAGTTCATAGAAATTTTGTTATTGGTTCTTTGAACTCATACTGCATGTGACATGCTGCCTCTCATGTCTACTATTTGTTACTGATGTCTGCTCCTACTATTTTATGAGTTGATAGCTGAAGGCACTCATTATCAATATGTTCAGGAATACAAGCAAAGATACTACTTTATTTGTCATGATCATCTTATGTTCTTGAAAGAAATTAAATGTGGCATCTTTCAGGGCTCCCCCTCCCCTACACACTTTTCTAGATTTTATGTGCTTCTGACTTTGATCAGTTTGGTTTATAGAATCCAAAGCTAAGGATGCTACCGTCATAAGTTAATATATAACTAGGTCAATGCTGACCTATTTCGTGGTTACAGCCTGAATGCAGTTGTCTTTCAAAAGCTGTCATTTTTCCTAAGACATTTTAAGAGAACTTCCTTCTTGACAACTAAAAAAAAAAAAGTTCCTCAAAGAGACAATAGAATTCCATACAATCTCCATTTTTCAGGGTTTTATAATCAGTGAAGCAAGTCTTGATTTTTTGTTTTGTTTCATTGTTATTGTTATTGTTTTAAGGTTGAATAAAAGGTGAAGACACCAAATAGAGATACAAACAATAGATAAACAGTACAATCAAAGACAACGTAGTCACTTCTGGAAGTCTAGAAACGAATAATGCTCATACACACATACACACCATACACTTGGACTTTGGGCTCTTTAAATAGAATCACAAACAGAGTTACATAAATATAATTAGTCTAATAATCAAGGGATAAAACTAATCAAGGTAGGACATGTTGAGAAACAAATATCTACAGTACGACGAGTGTCTTTTTGGGCAGCCAGTGTAAGAAATTATTGAGCCACACATTCAAATGTGACAAAGCTCTGGGTGCCTAGAAAACAGGAATCTCAATTTGGCTAACCAATTGCTATATGTTTGTGACGGCTGTTCGGGCTCCTTCAACTGTCATTTAAGTGAGGCCAAATAGCAGCAGCGGTGGAAGAAATTCATTAACAACACAGCTTCCAACAACACAGCAGAGTTGTGTCTGGCTTGGAAACCATAAAAGACAGCAGGACCTGAGTATGACAATGGGAAGTGATGCCATAACGTGGCATAAAGATCCCTCTGTGAAGATACGAGATGGCTTAAGGACAGCTGTGGCCGCGGGCCATCTGCTTTAATGAAGTATGGAAAGAACTTCGGGACAGTCTCTCGACCCTCGTGGTGACACAGGTTTACAGGTATATGTCAGCAGCCTTCACAAAGCACAGATACACACCTAGACTCACACTCGATGCTTACACGCATGGAAAGCCTATCTATGAGGGATAGACATGAAACTCCGACACATTTAAAATGCCAAAGGAAGTTTAATGTAAAGTGAATTTTCACATGTCTCACCTGAACAATTCGAAATGAGAGTTTAGCCAAAATGTGTATCTGAAAAGAGAACCATTACCCAAACTGTAAATCTCCCCCTGCCCCCCTCCCCCGCCCCAAAATTAGAATGACAAGTTCAGATGGTTTTTGTCAAGTCAGTTCTCGTGTCCTGAGATCGAAGGTCCATCACAGAAACCTAGGATTGGCTCATCGCTTCATCATCTGAGCGAGGTACGGAGGTGTGAAGTGTCCACAAGGTGGAATCAGCAAGTGGAGACTTTGCCGAAAGTCCTCAGTCGCAAGCAAGTTTTCTCCCCCAAAATTAGAATGACAAGTTCAGATGGTTTTTGTCAAGTCAGTTCTCGTGTCCTGAGATCGAAGGTCCATCACAGAAACCTAGGATTGGCTCATCGCTTCATCATCTGAGCGAGGTACGGAGGTGTGAAGTGTCCACAAGGTGGAATCAGCAAGTGGAGACTTTGCCGAAAGTCCTCAGTCGCAAGCAAGTTTTCTCAGTAGCAGCCGGATGACCAATATCTTCCATAGCAACATGGGCGGTAGCAGCTGTATCCATAGCCACCGTAGCCACAGCCGTAGCCAGAGCCCAGACCTGGGAAGCAGCCATAGCCACAGCCATAACCGCAGCCATAGCCACAGCCCAGACCGCCAATGCCATAGCCCAGACCTCCGTAGTAGTTGCCGTAGTAACAGCTCATGGTGTCAAGAGTTGAGGATTTAGGGGAGAACAAAGTATATGCTTGCAGAATGTGAACTTCTCTGCTTCCGCCGGGCCTTTTATACACCTTCTGTAGTGGGCGTGACAAACAACAAGCAATCCTGCCTTGTGTTTTATCAACTACTTTGTATGAAAACTGTCATTAACGTCGTGTTCATTTTGAAGAGAGGCCCTCACACCCATTCATTTAGAAATTCCTTTATTGATGTTTCTAAATTCTTTAAGGCATCTCGTGTACCTTTAATAACAAAACAAAATTTACTACCGTACTTAAGATCCGTAACCAAGCTTCATGAGTTTGCATAGCTTGAAAGCCACACACATTATTTTAGCTTGCTTTGGAATAATAACATCGTCCCTCTGCGGACTTAAAGCACCAATGCGCGGAGGCCCCAAGTCGCGATGAGCAGAATTTACAGGTCCTATCATATTATCATCAACATTACCTTGATTTTTGTTTGGGGAGAGATTTCAAATGTTTTTTGGCAAGATTGATTTTGGTGTTTGATTGCAAATAATGTTTTTAGACCAATTCATAGCACTGTCATTCTTATTGGTTTGGGTGTTTTTATGTGGTTATATGGTGTTCAGTTTTATATGCATCAACATTTCATAAGCACGAGAGATCTAAAAGATGTTTGCCAGCAAAAGTATGTATATAATTTTGTGTATGTATGACACCTGTGTGTATTATATTA